AACTTCCATTTGTTTGTGTGCATCGGAAAAATCTCCTCGTGTGCGCAAAATGTGTAAACTTACCAGTTTTCGGTAGCGATAAAGCTAAAAAACTCTCTAACTCTAATACCCAAGCAGGAATTTCTAGTTCCACTTGCTCTACTCCCGTGAATAAGGACATATCCGCTTCCGGAGATATTTATCTTCCATGCGTGAAGACTACTTACTCCAATATACCCAAGAAAAGTTCAAATACAGATGAGGATGGATGGTCAACGATAACACCTTCTAAAAGGAAACACCGATCTTCCATGGATTCACCACAAAAGGATCCCAAGAAAAAGCCAATAAACTCTAATGTTAATAAAAACAAGCAAGAAACTCCTGTCAAAGTTAACCTTAATAATTCCAAATTTAGTGTACTTAGTGATTCAAATGCTACCAGTGAAAAAACTGTTAAACCCTCCCTTCCTCCACCCATATTTGTCTCATGAATCAAAGATTCGGCCAAATTTAGGGAACTTGAAGTTGATCCAATTGCCCCTGCTGCAAAAATGAAAGCAATCAATCAAACTCAACTAAAAATTGTAGTTAACTCGATTGATGAGTATAAAAATTTAATTAACTCCTTTAAAGAGAAAAAAGTCCCTTTTCACACATTTTAACCTAGAAATGTTAAAGCCGTCGGAATGGTCATTAGGGGTTTACCTATGGACTTTCTGACAAGTGACATTAAAACTAGTTTTGAAACAAGAGAAAACATTATTGTCAGAAACGTTAGCCAAGTCCGTAGGATAAAAGATAAAAGTAAACTTGCCCTCTTTTTTGTTGATTTCGAACCGTGGGAAAATTTCACTGATTTTAAGAAGAGTATAGACTCTATTAAAGAGATCAATAAATTTTTAATCTCCTTTGAACCACCTAAAATTCAAAGAAAGATCATACCATGTAAAAATTGTTGGTCCTTTGGTCATGCCAAAGGAGGATGTTTTCGTCCCTTGCGTTGCATTTGGTGTGGAGATTTTCATGTCGCACAGGAGTGTCCCATAAGAACCCCCTCAAATGAGGGAATTTCAACCTTTTCGCCACCTCCAACTTGCGCTCTCTATGGGGGTCAACACCCTGCGAATTTCCTTGGTTGTAAAGTCAGATCCGAAATACAAAAACGGAAATTCCCCCCTCTGAAAAAAGAGGAAAAAACTCAAAATACAGACAAGCAAGGCAAAACTAAGTCTTATTCTGCTATATTATGCGGCGCTTATCATGATCAAGATCAAGTGCGATCTCTCCAATCGCATAAAGCCCCTGACCCAGCTTCGAATGAATCAATTAACAATAATGATTATCAATTCAAGTTCGAATTATTGGTTAAGAGAATAGAAGCACAAGAAAAATTATTAGAGACGGAAGCCCAAAACATGGCTGAAATTTCCATAACTTTAACAGAATTCATGAATAGATTTGTATCATTAATATAAACTTCGAAGGATTCAGACTTTCAGCGATTCTACCTTTTTCTATTTCACTCGAGAGGTTGCCAGATTGTGCGATAAATGTGAATATTTTACATGGATTTGAATTGGGAAAAGTATTAAAAAAACAAATTATCTGGCAACAGTGGAGTTCGGGAGGGACGAGAGGCTGCCTTCCTTGGAAAACCCATGATTTAGCCGGAAATGTCATTAAAACAATTGATTACGTTTGAAGTATCAATTGTATACTAGGGGAAAGCTATTTTAAAATAATAATTGTAAATGGACACAGATGCTACAGAGAGGGAAAAAGGGAAGGGAAAGGAAATGAAATAAGGATATGATTACTAAAATGCAATCAGAGAGAATAAAACAAAAACATCAGAGAAATTTATATGCAATGAAAGTATAAGAAAAAAAACATGAGTGGGCTCATTGCGATTCGGAACTCGAACTATACTATCGTTGAGCAGTTTTTAGACCCCTACGCCACCGATAATCTTCTTAAGAGGTAAAGATGAACTTTTGCTACTTCAGAAAGTCAAATCGCGAAGGAGATCCATGGATTGTCTTTTTCCGCTACCCGATGGGATGACGTTCCAGTCAAATGCGCTTTTGAAGAGATGATCGATCCCCATCATCGCTTCATCTCCACACATCTATTCATGTGCAAATGTTGGCACGCTTTGGCAACAAGGTTCTATGACGAAATCATTTTTGCCTCCAGAGTCTCCAAAATGTATACATCTTAGTGATCAAATGTCCAATCACTGAGAAAAATAGCTCGCGGAGCGAGCCGAATGTCACTCGCGTAGCGAGTGATCGGGGGTCCAGGGGGCGCAGCCCCTTGGCTGGCCGTGACGGACGCGCAAAGCGCGTCCAGAACGGCTAGTAGTCATTTAAATATGAAGTTTAAATCTCACGCCTCCTAATGCTCTTCAGAGTCATAAGGAGAAATGTAATTTTTGCTTAGGATGGAAATACCGTCGCAACCTGTTAAGAAAATTGAATCACTATTATTCTGTAATAATTAGGTTCTATTCTTTCCCCTTCTGTTTTTACCTAAGGCGGTACAATCTGTTAAAATCAATTAATTTTTAGCAAACAATAGGCTAAGTGTTGAAACAAGCTTTTTTAAGATGTATAAGTCTAAAAGCTTTTCTGTGCAAATTTGTATGTATTTTTTGTGCAAATAAATAAAAAAAAAAACCACCTTGGGCCCGAGGCCTAAGGTGGTTTTTTTTTTTTTTTTTTTTTTTTTTTTTTTTAAAATATAAACTAGAACCTTGGTCCCGAGGCCCAAGGTTCTAGTTTATATTGTCCAATGTTTACAAATGGGGCAAGAGTAGGCAGCCAGAATGGGGCAAAAATACGCGCCCAAAAGTGGGGCGTAGTGGGGGGGGGGCGGGAGAGGTATATAGGAACTTCAACACAGAAGATGTAGGCAACTCAGCATCTCCAAAAATTTTTATGTTCCTTTGTTCACTTTGTTCTTTTCCTTTTTAAAAAAAATTGACTTCGAAAATTATTTGGGAGCTTGTGGAGACCGAATTATTTATTTTTTTTTCCACAGTAAAAGTGGTTAGGCACCACTGGAACCCTTTGAGACCAGTTTCAGTCGTTTTCCGGGATACAACAGCAATTTGGAGCCCAGGTGATGTTTTTTTAAAAAAAATTCCACCTGCGTACTTTTGCCCCATTAAATGAGGCAAAAGTACGCATTTTCAATTTTTTTTAAAAAAAAAATTGGTCACAGCCATGGATTTGATCTCTAAATTTGGACAACGCATGGCACTAGTGCGTGAGGGCTTGCAGTAGGTGCCTGACCACTTTTCTCGCTTTAAAAGTCAATTCGGTCACGGAAATACAGGAAAACCCAAAAAATGCGTACTCTCACCCCCACCTACCCTACATGTTCGGCTCCGCTGGCGGAGGACGGCTCGGCTCTCAATCGGTGCCACAGCCGGCTCCGGATCCCTGGTTCTTCACATGATGCACCTCATCTCAATTTGCAGTTTGAAATTTTGTACTCCTCATGAGCTATTTTATATCGTGAATGGGTTGTAGGCAACCTGGAGGAAATGAGTTTCAAACAACTGGCTCTCATACAGGGTTATCCAAAAGTCACCTACCACCCCTGTAACTTTTTTCCTAATTGAGATGGAAGTTTGAAACTTTGGCAATGTTCCTCGGTATAAAGTAGCAACTTTTTGGTCCCCCCAAAATCTTTGGGGGCGGAGGCTAACTTTTTTTTTTCAAATCGCAACCCCCCTTTTGTGATACCTCATTCGAAAGATAATAAAAAAAGAAAAATTTTGGCGCAAACCGCAGGTCAAAATGTTGATTTTTGATGAGATGGCGGCTGGTCGAAGTTCAAAATGGCGGAAATTTGGCATCTCCGTTTCTCATCGGCGAATTGGTCTGAAACTCAGTCGGGACGAAAAAAACGACTCTGGCAATAGTTTTCCAGAAAAGTCATTCCTTTTCCAAATGGCGGCAGTTAAAATGGCGGCTTGGAGCGGGAAGTAGATATTTAGGCTGCTTGTCGTTAGATTTGTATGAGACTTGGTATCCAGGGGTATTTCGGCACGAGAAGATCGAATCTTTCATTGGATTTTTGAAATTTCGAAAAACTTTAAAATGGCGGCGAAAAAATGACGGGAAATCCATATCATCGGCCATAACACCGATTTTTTCCGCCACCATTTTTAAAGTATTTAGTATTTCAAAAATATAATGAAAGATTCATTTTTTTCGAGCCAAAAACCAACAGAGTATCGACTTTCGTGCAAATCCATCGGTAAATAGCCGTGATATGGATTTCCCGTCATTTTTTCGCCGCCATTTTAAAGTTTTTCGAAATTTCAAAAATCCAATGAAAGATTCGTTCTTCTCGTGCCGAAATACCCCCGGATACCCAGTCTCATATAAATCTAACGACGAGAAGCCTAAATATCCACTTCCCCCTCTAAGCCGCCATTTTAACTGCCGCCATTTTGAAAAGGAATGACTTCTCTGGAAAACTATTGCCAGTGTCGTTTTTCTCGTCCCGAAAAACCCTAGGATTCTGAGTTTCAGACCAATCCGCCGATGAAAAACGGGGATGCCTAATTTCCGCCATTTCGAACTTTGACCAGCCGCCATCTTGTCAAAAATCAACATTTTGACCTGCGGTTTGCGCCAAAAATTTTCTTTTTTTATTATCTTTCGAATGAGGTATCACAAAAGGGGGTTGCCATCTGAAAAAAAAAGTTGACCCCCGCCTCCCAAGATTTTGGGGGGACCAAAAAGTTGCTACTTTATATCGAGGAACATTGCCAAAGTTTCAAACTTCAATCTCAATTAGGAAAAAAGTTACAGGGGTGGTAGGTGACTTTTGGATAAACCTGTATAATTGCTCACAAGAATTCTGTTAGACAACTCCATGAAAAAGCCCAACCTCTAATTAGTGAAAAGAAGGCGTTAAGTTCGTGAGTTACCAGAACTGATTGTTATGTGATATCTATGCCTTGAATATAGCACAACGGTTAACTTTGTTCGCTTTTGCAGGTTTACCATATTCGCTTATGGGCATTGAATGTCAATGGTAGCTCACCTCCATCAGAATGGTGCTCAGTAGAAACTTTCGAGAATGATCTCATTGAGAACACTGTACCCGACGCTCCTGGCTCTTTGATTGGTAAGTTTCTTTACTTTTTTTTTTTTATTAATTTCTTTTTTTTCTCTATAGTGGTATTATAGTTTAAGTCAGTTTTAGGTCCGGCAATCTTGGCTAACTTAAGAGAAAATGTGACTCAGTAGATTTCAGCATTAGTCAAAATTGTCTACAATAGGCAGACTTTCTTAAAATAAAATTTAGCTCATCAGAAATTTTGATGCTGATGCACCGCCCAAAGTCTTCAAAGACATGGCCAACGTATGGAAGTTGCAGCTATGTGACCCAATATCACTTAAAAAATTTGTGAGGAATAATTCAACAGTTAGCTCAAGATTTTAAAATAAAAAATATTGGCACACACTGTAAATACTGTAATGTAACCCCTAGATGCACTAGGGTGGCCTTTATTTTCGACTTTTCGGAAATTTAAAGTGCGGAACCCTGCAAATGGTTCCTTTTGGTAAGGAAATAACGGGGAAAAAATGAAAATGGAGAAAAAAATATTTTAAATGGCGCCTCAAAGAGCGTAAGTTGCGAGCGTGGCGTGCGAAGTCGCGTTTTTCTGTCATTTCGCAAATTTTGTTCTCTCCTTTTAAATGTTGCTACAGCTTTGAAATTTTCTAAAATGACACATTTCTTAGAGTGCTTCACGAAAAAATAACGAAATTTACCGCGCCATTTTTGAAATGCCCCTTTTTCCCCTCCAAAGTGGCCACATCGTGCGATTTTCCCTAACGATCTCCCTGCACGGTGTGTCTTTTTTCTACCTTTGAATTGTTCCCACGGCCTTGGAATTTTCTGAAGTAGCACATTTTTAGAGTACTTTACGAGAAAAATAACAAAATTTACCGCGCCACTTTTAAAATGCCCCCTTTCCCCCTCCAAAGTGGCCACATTGTGCGATTTCGTCGCTTGTTCGTAACATTCTCCCAGCACGGTTTGCCGGAAAGAGTTTAAATTTTTTGAAGAGTCAATAGCAAAAATTCTTCAGATTCTAGAAGTAGAGTGTCTACCGAGTCATCTAAGCCAAAAAGAAAACGATTTTGTTCAGCTGCTGGAAAACAAAGTCGATTTAAGGGTATATCGGGGCTAACATAGGCAAATTACCGATGTAAAGTTCTGTTCTATTATTGAAAAGAAACGTCCTTGATACTTAAAATGCCTGAAGGTTTCTCATACATTGTTGTTTAAAGTACTCGAACACTAATACCACCAACTTCAGGCAAATCAAAAATTTTGGAGGCCTAAAACTACCCCTCAGAGCTGAGGATTGCTTAAATTTTCCATGAAGCTCTCCAAAAAAAGACCGGTTTTTTGGGCAGTCAATTTGGGCAGTCAATTTGGGCCGTCGAACGGAGTTTGAAATGGAAGCTTAAAATGACTTAAAGCTCACAGAAAAATTTCAAGATGAGCGTAGGAACGGAGACAAGGAACAGTTTTTGAGTTATCGGGGTACCCCGGGGGAGGGGGGGGGGCAATGGGACCAAAATCCCATCTAATATTTGCCGTTATCTTGTTAAAAAATGATGTTGCCATGGGCTTCTGGTCGTTTTGCAAATGTGTTCAACATATCGATACTTCATTATTTTAACACGTATACTTAAAATTTAATGTCGAGGAGTCGATGTTTCGATTTGTTATATCGATTATACACTAAAAATCGCTGGATTTTTGGGATTCAAATTTGCTATTATAGATTTACGTAAGAGATAGTAATCCGTATGAAATCAGAAAAATCGCAACCCGGCACCTCGGAAACCGTTCCTAAGCTCATCTTGAAATTTTTCTGTGAGCTTTAGGTCATTTTAAGCTTCCATTTCAAACTCCGTTCGACGGCCCAAATTGACTGCCCAAAAAACCGGTCTTTTTTTGGAGAGCTTCATGGAAAATTTAAGCAATCCTCAGCTCTGAGGGGTAGTTTTAGGCCTCCAAAATTTTTGATATGCCTGAAGTTGGTGGTATTAGTGTTCGAGTACTTTAAACAACAATGTATGAGAAACCTTCAGGCATTTTAAGTATCAAGGACGTTTCTTTTCAATAATAGAACGGAACTTTAAATCGGTAATTTGCCTATGTTAGCCCCGATATACCCTTAAATCGACTTTGTTTTCCAGCAGCTGAACAAAATCGTTTTCTTTTTGGCTTAGATGACTCGGTAGACACTCTACTTCTAGAATCTGAAGAATTTTTGCTATTGACTCTTCAAAAAATTTAAACTCTTTCCGGCAAACCGTGCTGGGAGAATGTTACGAACAAGCGACGAAATCGCACAATGTGGCCACTTTGGAGGGGGAAAGGGGGCATTTTAAAAGTGGCGCGGTAAATTTTGTTATTTTTCTCGTAAAGTACTCTAAAAATGTGCTACTTCAGAAAATTCCAAGGCCGTGGGAACAATTCAAAGGTAGAAAAAAGACACACCGTGCAGGGAGATCGTTAGGGAAAATCGCACGATGTGGCCACTTTGGAGGGGAAAAAGGGGCATTTCAAAAATGGCGCGGTAAATTTCGTTATTTTTTCGTGAAGCACTCTAAGAAATGTGTCATTTTAGAAAATTTCAAAGCTGTAGCAACATTTAAAAGGAGAGAACAAAATTTGCGAAATGACAGAAAAACGCGACTTCGCACGCCACGCTCGCAACTTACGCTCTTTGAGGCGCCATTTAAAATATTTTTTTCTCCATTTTCATTTTTTCCCCGTTATTTCCTTACCAAAAGGAACCATTTGCAGGGTTCCGCACTTTAAATTTCCGAAAAGTCGAAAATAAAGGCCACCCTAGTGCATCTAGGGGTTACATTACAGTATTTACAGTGTGTGCCAATATTTTTTATTTTAAAATCTTGAGCTAACTGTTGAATTATTCCTCACAAATTTTCCGCAGGGTTCCGCACTTTAAATTTCCGAAAAGTCAAAAATAAGGGCCACCCTAGCGCACAGTCTAAAAATAATGATGCAGATCCAGAGAATTGCAAACTTCTGTAGATTTTTTCAGTGATAGATGTATATTAGAGTGCTGTAGTAGGAAGTTCTCTAAAGAAGAAATTCATCAAATTGGTAGTTAATTGACTGTGACAATTGAAAAAAAATTGGCCTCCGGCCAATTCATGTGCGGCGCAAGCATCGCGTACCGGCGCTTCGCGCCGGCATGTGGGGGGGCTTCGCCCCATCCATCATGGTGCGAGGATCGCACAAGACTTTCTTGCTTTTGCATACCCACTTTTACTGGGATGTTTAGAAAAATACTGCCAATTTCACAAAATCATGAAGTTTGATTGGAATTTTGATCGCAGGATAATAGTTATGAAGTTTTTATTCAAACCACTGAACTTTATTGTAAATGTCTTCGTGAGATGTGATGAATTCATATATTCGGACTCGACTTGTCAATATTATGAGGCATCTTCAATTAAATATAATTGATTTATGATGCCTCCCATTAAAGATGGCGATCCGTAAAAATCTTAGCTTTTCTACGATTCATTAGGATCCATTAGATTCATTGATATAGATAAGATAAGATAAGATAAAACCTTATTATGCTCCTTTTTACCATATAACAAGGTTATTTAATAAGTGCGAACAAAAGAAAAGTAACATAATAAAACCACCCACTAAGGTTGAACCTTGTGTTGGGTGGGGTCTTATTAATTGAAAAATAAATGTTCTTAGAAAATGAAAGGAAGGCGGAACAAGAAGAGAGGAAAAAAAAGAAAGAAGAGAAAGAAATAAGAAAGAAAGAAAGAAAGGAAAAAAGGAAGAAGAAAAAAAAAACCACTTTATCCCCTTCCCAACCCCCGATTACCCTTTCTCCTTTCTCTTTTTGTAGTTTTGCTATGAGTTGTTTATATTCCAACGGGAGTTTATTATATTCCTCTGTTATACCGCTTATATGGCTACTGTTGGTTATTTCGAGGTTGAATTTTTTATTTTTAATAAGCAGTTGTTCCTCGCTTCGGGTGTTGTATTTGGAAACTTCTGATTTAATTTTATTATTTTTTACGGCATATTTTATTAATTCAAATCTCCAAAGGTTTTTTATAGATAATACGTTTATTTCTTGGAATAGTTGGTCGGTTGGATAACGTTTTGGTTTGTGGGATATGATTTTTAGAATATATTTTTGGGTTGTAAAGAGGGGACTGATGTGAGTATCATTTGCGCATCCCCAAATGGAATATTTGGGGAATATTTTGGAATATTTTTGGAATATTTTTTAATTTCAGTATTGCATTAGAGATTGCGCTAGTCCATAGTACACGGATTTTAAAAAGTAGATGGACGCAAATTTTGATATTATTTTGAAGAAATACGTCATTGATCTTAATTTTTTGTTTACACTAGAGATATGTCCTTTTCATTTTAAGTGTTGGTCTAAGATGACACCTAAATATTTTGAGTTTGTTACTCTTTTTAGAGTTTTACATGAGTCGCATTTGATTATTATTGCATGAAGGATGGAGAATGTCTTCGTGTATTTTTACTTGCACTTTTTCAGTTGGTTGTCCTGTGATGGTAGGGGAAAAAGCAATATAATTAGTTTTTTCAATATTCATTTTTAATAGATTTTCAGTCAACCAATAGTATATTTTTGATAGTTCAGTAGAAGCCTTTTTAAAAGTTTCCTCCCAATTATTGTCTGATACCAGCAGCGCTGTGTCGTCTGCAGAGGAGAATATTTTACCATTAATTTCCATGTTACAAAGTTCGTTAACATAAAGCAGAAAAAGACAAGGAGAAAGTACGGTACCTTACAGGAGACCGTTGTTGCATGTTATAACATCGCTAAAAACGCATTCTATTTCAACTAGTTGTTTTCTTTCTCTTAAATAGCTGCTGAACCACTTGAGTGCTATCCCTTTAACTCCTATCGATTCCATTTTTTTCAGTAATTTACCATGGGTGATGGTGTCGAATGCTTTCTCTATGTCGAGTAATACTAATATGGGTTTTTTCCCTTTATCGATCTCATGTAGTATTTCTGTTATTAGATCTGTTACTGCGTTTTGGGTGCTGACCTTTTTCCTAAAACCGTACTGGTTGTTCGAGAGGATTTTGTATTTTTCTAGGAAACAAGTTAATCTTTTTTTCACTATTTTTTCCAAAACTTTAGCCAAATTAGATATGAGTGAGATTGGTCGATAATTTTTTACAAATTTTGGGTCCCTTTTTGAAGAGAGGGATTATTTTGGATTCTTTAAATTTATCTGGGAATTTTCCAAGTGTTAAACTCAGGTTGAAAATATGTGCTAGTGGTATCGCGATTTGTTCAGCTATTTCTTTTAGCATTTCGACGGTGTAGGTATCTAAGCCTGGGGCAGATCCTCCTTTAAGTGTAAATATGTACGATTGTACTTCAGATGTTGTTACCGCTTCCAGAAAGAGAGAGTTAGTTAAGTTTTTTAATGCCTTTTTTTGGTCAGACTTATATGGAAATTTGGCTTTCTGGCGACATGAGGCCGCCGTTTTTAAGCCGATCGTTGCAAAATGTTGGTTTATGGTATTGCATAATTTTTTTGGATCTTTGCTCATTTCGATTTCGTCATCTTCGTTGATTATTTTAGTTATTTTAGTATTATTTTTAGTGGTTCCTAAGTTTGCGGCTTCTCTTAAGATTTTCCATTTTAATTTTATATTTTTGTTAGCTTTTTTTAGTTGGCCATCATAGTAGTTGTTTTTGGCTTGCTTTCCAATAAGGCTGAGTAAGTTTCTATATCTCTTAAACTTTAATTTTGCCTCTTCATCTGAAGGATTTTTGTTGCATATTAGCTTTAACCTGTCCCTATTTCTTATTGATTTTAGTATGGCCTCTGTAATCCATGGTTTTAATGGGATTTTCCTTCTACTTATTATTTTTTCATATGAAGACTTCTGAATACAATTATTTAGCGTGTCGCAGAATTTTTCTAATGCATTGTTTACCTCATTACTACCCACCACATCTTTCCATTCTTCATTTTTTAAATATCGCTTCAGATTTTGGAAATTCACTTTTTTTATTTTTACTTTATTATTTTCACCAGGATTTTTTTTAGTTTCTTTATTTTTTTTAAGTTGCAGACTGGCAGCCGTCCTGTCATGATCTGTTAATGAGTTTCTTATAACAAAGCTTTCTATGTATTTTCTCAATATCATACTTCAGATACGATTACAGTGGACTCTCGATAATTCGAACCTCGATAATTCGAAAACCTCGTTAATTCGAAGGAAAGTCTGTTGCCCTTGAAAATCTCTCGATAATTCGAAGAAAATCAATGTATTTTACTCCCCTCGTTAATTCGAAATTTTTAGGCTGGCGCGGACCTCTATAATTCGAAATTGCGACGAAAATTCTCTCTGTAATTCGAAGTGTGGGAAGTAAATATGACCCTCCCTCTATAATTCGAAATAAGATGGTACATTCCCTCTACAATTCGAAGTCAACTGTTTATGTATCTGGGTATCTGAAAGAGCTTGACCTTTGACCTAAAGACCTTTTGGCGTAAATCTGTCCATTTGCCCCTCTATAATTCGAATTCAGATGGCGCCTTCCCTCTATAATTCGAACCTCTCTAATTCGAGGTTCCTCCACATTGAATCTCTTTAATTCGAACTCTCTTTATTTCGAAACCTCGCTAATTCGAATAAAAAGCCGATTCCCTTCAATTTCGAATTATCAAGAGTCCACTGTATATATTATAATATTTCCTTAAGCACGGTCAAAAGCCATCAAAAATCTACTTTAATGGGTAGAATGACTCTTCGATGTTTAAATAGTCTTAAAACTAAACGGTTTTCGCTTAGCATCGCCCAAATTTTAAATTTGGCGGGCAAATCTCCCTGCTGGAAATGGTTCACCACCCGCCCGCCGAGAGCGCCACCTCCTTGCTGCTCGTATCCCCGTGTATCAACAAAAACGCAGGGAGTATAGAAGGTTAGAGACCCGACTGGATAAGGAAGAATTGAAACTGAAGTTGAGCCGCGAGCAAGCAGTTGCGTACGTTTGCGCGAGAGTGCGCGACGAGCGGGATTCCCATACCACTGCGCTGATTGGCTAAGCGAGAGTTGCGGTCGGATGATGTATAAAAAATTGCCTACGTGGAGGTGGTTCGACAGCAAGATACCCGCCGCTAGTCACTGAAAAACAATAGAAAATAGTAGTTGCGTATGTTGCCAGCGAGCGCGCTGCGAGCGCTTCTGTTTCAATTACCTAGCATTGAGTCGGGCCTCTAACCTTCTATACTCTCTGCAAAAACGTCAACAAACCTGGACGGGTTATAACGCGCTTTATTATCCATCATTAAATCAATCATGTTTGTGCAGTATTATTATGTTATATTTGTGTTCAGTACCTCGTAAAAAGGAACCGCGAAAGATGGAATCTGTTGGGATTCTAAATTCATTAACAACAAACATAATAGTTTCTAATAAAGATCTAAGTGTCAGTTCTTGCGTTAGCTTCGATGATTCATAGGATATAATGTAAGTACCTAATTAGTCGTCTAATTTTGCTTGGTGTATACCTACGGAGTAATTTTGGAGATAGTATATGATGCATTATATAATGCATTTTAATTCCTAGATTTCACCTGACTCAAAGCGTTTGCTGCTAATATCTAGGAGCGTTCCGACTTATTTATCGGAGCATTGAGCGTTTCCTATTGGCCCCTCTGCAATTATGACATTAGTCCAAAGATCCTTTAAGAACTTAAATTAATGACTCAGGTGGTGCTTTTGAGCCAACTTTCAAAGAATTCAAGGCATTCTTTCAAAATCTACAGTCCATGAGCTCTCCGTGTGACCGAAGTGCCCTCCTTGCTGTATGACGCGTAACCCTTCAATGTTTAGTTTAGTCCAAAGATCTCTTAGGAACTTATATTAATGAACCAGGTGCCTTATGCCAACTTTCGAAGAATTAAAGGCATTTTTTTTTAAAATTTACAGTCCTTGAAAATGAGCTGTTTGTGTGATGTCGCGGAGCAAAGTGCCTTACTTTTGGGCCTTGTAATCCCTTGAATTTTGAGTTTAGTCCAAAGATCTTTTAGGAACTTAAATTAATGACCCAGATGATATGATTGATGCCCATTGTTAAAGAATTAAAGGCATTTTTCAAAATTTACAGTCTTTCAAAATGAGCTTTCCGTGTGATTTTGCTAAAAATGGACAATTTAGCGTAGACCCCCCAAATTTTAGCGTACCCCAAAATCGTTTGACGTGCATAAGGAGACCATAGATATGATGTTCTGTGCCAATTTTGAATGAAATCGAACGGATAGATTCTGAGATATCGCCATACATAGATTTGGGGGACGTCGGACGGACGGACACACATTTTTTCAAGTATGGTTATTTTGACTCCTGGGACCTTAAAACGTCTAGAAATGATGAAATTTCAACTTTTTTTTTTCTTGGAGGATGACAATACTTCCTCTCTACCCTAGGGGAGCGAGAAAGTAACAAAAGTTTTTGAACTTTTCTGAAAGAGCTCAATGAGAAACAGCCCATGAATAATTTTCATAATGTTTTACGAAATGATCTCTGCGATTTTTCTGAGGTGATTGGGTGATTTTCCATAAAAACCTTGTGTAACGCATCTTGCAGCTTTTTGTCTATTGTGGAGTACTCGATAGCCCTAAATTTTTTTCTTCTTCTTGTGTCAATTGATGAAGGAAACTTTTGAATACTATTTGGACTACTCGCATTTTAATATTTTATTTGTGTTTATCTCAAAATTATCATTTCCGTCATCTCTTGTCAATCAAGCCAATACTCATTTGTAAACGAGCAAAAGAGCTCCCTGTAAGTGTCTTGGTTGTCTTACTCCAACCATAAAAACTATGATTCTTCTCGAGGTCTTTATCATATTGTATAAATGTTGTTTTTGGATTTTTCTCCAGCTCAAGCTACATCAGACTCCATTTATTTGTTGTGGACACCTCCACTTGATACAAGTATCATGGTACGAAGTTACACTATTGGATGGGGAAGAAATTATCCAGATATGTTTACCAAATCTTTGAATGGCAGGCATTCAAATTCTTTCACGATCACAAAATTAAGTAAGTTAATTTTTGTCTGTTTTGTTATAGACCGAGAGCTCATGATGATTCGTTCAACCGGAATAATATAAATTTACCATCTTCGTCTTTTGAAGCAGATTTTGGTATGTAAAAAGAAATGCGCGGTCTGGCAGGTCAAACCGGTTGCATTAAGAAAATTTTAGGCCCCTAAAAAGCCCAAAAATTGCTCGGATTTTGACTGGAAACATATACACTTGATATTAGGCTCATTTAACGCGGAAAACCTTCCTGATTAAGGATCAGTCGGTCTGGCAGCCGAAATCAGTTGCTTAAGGGCCGCCAGACCGGTTCAAAGTTGGAAAAAAAGTGCTCAAATTTCACCCGGAAGCATATACATTTGATATTGGGCTCATTTTATGCGGAAAACCTTCCTGATTAAGGATCAGTCGATCTGGCAGCCGAAATCGGTTGCTTAAGGCCCGCCAGACCGAATTTTCCCCGGTAATATGTATATGAGGGTGTGTGTGTGTGTGTGAAGAGTTCATGGTTGTTAATTAATAATAAATGAAGTTCATGAGTAGTTTTCAACCATTTCAATGACACTTTGCAACATTTTTCACTACATTCTACAATTCGACGTTTTGGAGACATATTCTCTCCATCCTCAGGGCAGACGAGTTATTCATAACTGAACGAGGAAAAAACACAGAAACCCAGTCTAGTCGCAGCAAGAGACCAGTTTAACGATAACAAGAGACATGACAAACATCAACACACACAATAACAATAAGCCCCCGCCGCAGAGAGGCAGTACTCATACACAAGGAAAGTTTTCAGAGATTAGAAAAATATTCCTCAAATTGAGCAAACTCAGTCCTAGAATTTATAGCATTTTGGTTTTTTAAATTACACAACCCCTCCAAATTCAACCTAAGCTGTTCATTCTTCTGTCTCTTCAACACCCTGGTGTTATTGAAATCAAAGGAATGACCCTTTTCTCTCATGTGTGGCTTTAGAGCAGTCACCTCATGTTGGTTAAACTTATGCCCATCCAGCCTTTTATGCAGATATTGGGATGACTGCCGACAATTTATATTTTGCCATTTTTCTGCAGTTTGCAATGACTATAGCATAACAAAAACCAGTTTTTTAAGTTCTCTGCTTAATTTTTCATCAGACACTTCATACCGATCGTTGAGGAAATGATTTTAGTAAAAATTACATTGCTTAAAGGAAGCTTGAAAAGAGCCCCGCACAAGAGATGGGCTATTAGTGTAAAAAAAGGAGTCATTGAGTGTAGTCTTAAATTTAATTTCATCATGAAGCCTACACATAGAATATAAGAACAAAAAACTTTCAATCTGAGCCAGGAGAAGGCGGAGGGGTTGTTGACTTGGAATGTGCTTTGAAATTTCAACCCCCGAGGCTCAAACGGAAAGTTTTTGGTTCCTACATACCACATGTACACTTTACAATGCAATAAAATATCTGACATCCCCACTCCACTGTATTTTATACACCAAAATCGAACCTCCTCGATTCCTGGCTTTTTTCATGCCCCTTTAAAGTAATGTTATTTTTATTGTGAAACTAGTTGCTTCAGCTCACCTCCGCACCTAGCCAGGGGGTTTCGCCCCCTGGAACCCTGATCGCTCGCTTCGCGAGTCTTTATGGCTCCCTCTGTGAGCCAAGATCTCACTTTGCGACCTTCAAAAATTTGAAACATGTAAAACTTTCAAAAATGTCCACATACGAAAAACTTAAAAAATCAATGTAAAGTGATGGCGGTTCCCATCGCCAGCAATACGGCACTGCTATTTGGGAAAATGTTAGTTGATCCAATCCTCGCAATCACTGATGAAGTAAAATTCTTGTCGATGGGAATGCACGGTAACTTCATAATCACTGAAAACTGACGAATTTGAAAAAATGTGACTGCAGCTAGGAGCTAAAAGGCTTTAAAGGAGGAAAGAACAGTCAACTACAGGCACGATAACTTCATAATCACTGGAACATGACGAATACCGGAAAAACTAACGGCTCTTCGTCTCACTGATTTTGGGGAAGAATCTTTCAGAGCTAATGAGAAAGCCACTCGAGGGCAAGAATAATTTCTGAATAACTTATCCAAAAAAGGTGTTGAACATTCTTTTGGAGAGTCAGGAATGAGGAGGGGGGGAGGCTCCTACCTATCGGCATCGGTCACTGTCTCTTTTAAGAAAAATGCATCAGCCAAAAATCAGGGATAGGATTTCGATTGTTCTTGTACAGACAGATGCTACAGATTCTATTAAATGATCGCAGGGGGGGGGGGGATTCCCACCGAAATGTGTCCATCCCGGAATCACCGGACAAAAAGGCCGGGAAAACCCATCCAACAGAACATAGGGGTATAATGTACATAGAGCGTTAGCCACTCTTCTTTTAGTGCTGGTACCGAGTGAAAGGTGTTTACAGACGCCCTATTCAGTGCTTTAACCCCTCCCTGAAAAGTAAGGAGAGATGAACCGATCTGCAAGTAGCTTGCATAGAGTGACTCATACACACATAGGTCACCCTCATGGGGAAAAAAAGTTTGGAAAGCTCCAGGAAAACTTTTAAGAGCTTATATTGAAAGTTTCGTATTTTTGGTATCATTTGGGCATCAACAGCTTTTCTTTGCAACAAAAATCAAGGAAAGCGGCCTGGCGGTTCCTCAGAATTCAGGATCACAAGGTTTCGACCCTTACAGTTTTATTTATACAGGGTGATCCAAAAGTCCCTTCCACCCCCTCTAACTTTTTACCTAATTGAGGTAAAGATTTGAAACTTGGGGGATATTCCTAGGTCAAAGGGAGCTACTTTTTGACCCCCCTAAAATTTTCAGGGGGCCCCCCTTGGGGGGGCAACGGCCCCCAACTTTTAATTTTCAAATGGGAAGACCCCCTTTGTGATAGCTCGTTCGAAAGAGCATAAAAAAAGAAAACTTTTCGCGCAAACCCGAAGTCAATATCGCAAACCGTTTCAAAATGGCGGCCGGTTAAAGTTCAAAATGGCCGAAAATTCACACCGGTTATTTGTCGATGGATTTGCGCGAAAACCGGTATGTAGGGGTATTTTGATACGAGAAAAACGAATTTGACGTTAGATTTTCAAAAAAAACCGAAATTTCCAAAATGGCCGCCGGTTAAAGTTTAAAATGGCCGAAAATTGTCACCCCGGTTTTTTGCCGATGGATTTGCCTAAAACTTGAATTTGAGAGTATTTTGGCATAAGATAAACAAATTTGAACTTAGATTTCTAAAAAATCAATTTTTTGTCATTTAGAACTTTAACCGGCGGCCATTTTGGAAATTTCGGTTTTTTTGAAAATCTAACGTCAAATTCGTTTTTCTCGTTTCAAAATACCCCTACATACCGATTTTCGCGCAAATCCATCGACAAATAACCGGTGTGAATTTTCGGCCATTTTGAACTTTAACCGGCCGCCATTTTGAAACGGTTTGAGATATTGACTTCGGGTTTGCGCGAAAAGTTTTCTTTTTTTATGCTCTTTCGAACGAGCTATCACAAAGGGGGTCTTCCTATTTGAAAATTAAAAGTTGGGGGCCGTTGCCCCCCCAAGGGGGGCCCCCTGAAAATTTTAGGGGGGCCAAAAAGTAGCTCCCTTTGACCTAGGAATATCCCCCAAGTTTCAAATCTTTACCTCAATTAGGTAAAAAGTTAGAGGGGGTGGAAGGGACTTTTGGATCACCCTGTATAGATTTGAAGCTCCAAGGCAAGATTCGGATCAATTTTATAAAATTGTTTTGCTTTGATGTACTAATTGTGACCGAAGAGAATGGAAAAACGCCTGAGGCCAGACTTTTTTGGAACTTTTGCTACTCAGGCCCTATCATTTGCCTCTTCAGGGTGGAAAAGACGGCCGCAGCAATTTTGAGTCGAATGACCTGCTCTTTGAGTCTAATGACCCGCTGCATCATCACCAGTTTGGCTTTACAAAGGGTTTACCTACCACCCATGCTGTGTATAAACTTACAGACAAAGTTCTCACTGCCTTTGAAAAAAACTACCTGTAATGAGTATACATTTTGATTTAATTAAAGCTTTCGATTCCCTCAATCATTCTCTGCTACTCAAGAAATTGCATTTATACGGTCTCTCTGAAAATGCCATAATGCTCATTGCATCATATCCTTCTGACCGTAATCAGAGAGTAAAAATTGACTCTATTAATGAACCTACTCTTTCTAGTGTCAAACCCTTAGTAACCGGAGTCCCTCAGGGATCAATTTTAGGCCCACTTTTATTATCATTTTCATGAATTACCTTCCCTTTAATTTCAAATATCCCATTTTACTATTTTCGGATGACACCTCTGCCTTCGTTGAGGGTGGAGATGTAATACTTAAGGCTGGTGAAGTGTATGATTAGGCCTCCGCCTGGTTTGATGCCAACGATCTGACGGTTAATCTAAGTAAGACACAAGCCTTAATATACTCAGCCGGTTCTTGTAATGCTCCATCTGTTGATTGTTGAATTCCAGGAGACTCAAATAGTATTCGATTGGAAATCTCTGTTGTGTTTCTTGGTATTCAAATAGATAGAGGGCTCATCTGGAAAGAGCATATCAGTAAAGTTAAATGTAAATGAAGCAGAGCATCTTGGGCCCTTCGCAACCTGTCAAGAATATCTATCCCTCAGTGTTGCTTAGCATTCTATCATGCCCATGTTGTTTCCCATATGCAATACGGACTAATCCTATGGGTCCGTAGCACTGGAGCTGAGCAAGTTTTTATGGTACAAAAAAGCTCATCAGAATTATGTATAAAATATGCCTTGGAATTCCCACTGCCGCCCTATCTTCATTAGGCATAGTTCACCCTGACCTCCCTTTATATCTTGGATAGCCTAAAGTTTGCAATTTCAAATGGATTGGTATCTCCCTCCAATCCTCTACCGTCTCATAATTACAATAGTAGGCACAGAGATATCTAAAACGTAAAAGTTCGACTGAAAAGATCTGAACAAGATTGCTGCAAATTTTCGGCTATCCAAATTATAAATGCTCTGCCCTGGAGCATCAAACAACAACTCCGCGATGGTAAAGTAAAGAAATTCTTCAATTTACTTTGGAATCTCCTCTTAACCAAGGCATTTTATGATACAAACGAATTTCTGACTTTAGCTGTTGAATAGCATTCTACCAACCACCACTTAATTTAACATTTTACAATTATAATTTATATTTTTAATCATTGTATATCGTAATTCCTAGTGTTCTTTGATTTGTGCTTTAGCTCCAATAATGGGGCTTTCATGTACGAAAATATAATAAATAAAATAAATAAATAAAATTTTGACATGGCATAACTCCATACATTAACATTTCCCCAACATGTCGTCAGTGGTGTCTCTCTGGAAATTGAGCATAAAATCTACCTAACGGATCTTTATTTTTCCAGAGTCATTGTGCACTGCCGAAAAATAGGAAAAATTAAAGTTTTGCATTCCAAAACATCGAGAAATGGCTGTAAATTGGTACTAGATGGAAGGTTTTCCAACTTTCTATTACATGTTCAAGTAGATTCTTTCAAGATCCTTCATTAAACGTAAAGTTTCAACTCAATCCAAGAATATGTTCAAAAGTTTGCAGTTACAGGTTTGATCTTGACCTCCTACCCCTCTTTCCCTCTATGGTGAGCCTGCACCAAAGATTCTGTCTTATTTGAGTGTCTCGCATGCTACTGCATCACTATCCCTGAAACTATTGATTGTATCTGATGGAAGGCCACATGTAATGAGAGATGTGACAGCCTCTTTTATTCTCGCATGTTTTTAGAGCCAAATTCCGAGTACATCATAAGTTTGAAAGCATCAAATGAAATGGGCGATGGACCCCCTAAATATGCCAATGTTCGCACATCCGTAGCAAGTCAACAGGAGCCAGCATTGGAATTAACTCCACCTATTGGTCTGAAAGCAAGTATTTTATCACCAACTAGTGCCGTCTTATACTGGTCTGACACAACTCTACCACAAGGACAAGTAAGTTTTCTTGAAGACATAATTTTTATGTCTCTCAAATTTCGGGGAATCGAAGCTTACGATGGAGTTATGTTAAGTCGGCACATCTTACGGAGCCACCGTCAAAATTCGGCTGGTCATACTTGACAAGTATAAGTCTTTTCGGTTTTTTTCCCCGTAATGCATGGACCCAACTTCCTTTCTGCTTTCAAGCATACACTAGTAGAAAAATTAGGAAATACTTCTACGTTTTTACTAGTAGAAAATTTATTTTTTCATAAGGCATGGTCTGTTTTAAAAAGTTTGAAGCTTTCTGAAAACCACTCGAGATGTTTTTCGATGAAAGTGTCAGGGATGGTCTCTAGATTGAAAAATTGAAAACCGCGAAATCGTAAGTGAGGCCGTTTCCGTTATTTTCGAGTTTTTCGATTTTTAAGGGTAAAATGATGGCAGAGACCAATGTCTGACCACCAAAACCCACAACCCTCTGGTCAAATTAAGTTCAAATTTTATGTATGTTACTCCTTGATGTGTAAAAGAGCGTCCTCAAAAGTTTTAACCCCCCCCTTCCTTGAAGAATTGCATCCCCCTATGCGGTGTTGCCAAGTTTCGTACCCCAAAATGATGCGGCGAATGGGGCAATGTAGATTTTGAGTTTCGATTAAAATAAAAAATCGTGAAGAAGCTTATTAATTGACACTGTGTGAATAACTTTAAATCCACCTTGATGAAGGCATGCGAGGTTGCTATGTTTTCGATTTTTGCAATTGCAAAATTTGTTTAAAAAATGTCAATTTATTTATAATTGTTTGATTGAGACTAATGCAGGCTCATTGATCAGCTACTTTTTACACACATCAGCTTAAATTCATGAATTTTTCCATACAATGGGACATTATGTCAGTCCTTTAACTTCAATTCAGGAAACGCAACCTATCCTCAAAAATTAATGCAAATGAATCGATGATAGTGGATTTGGTTTGAAAAAAATTCCGGGAATTATTGTTTCTGACACAAAAAGTAAAATTTAAATTCTCTTCTTCCTAGTATCTAAAGAATGAAAGGAAAAATAGTTTTCAATTCTCGAGTAAAAAGTAAACCCAAACCGTTCAGTGATTTTACCGATGTTTTCAAAGAATTTAAGCCCCAATCTCTTGAGGTTTAGCTAAAGAGAGAAAGAAAAAAGTGAAAAAAACCTTCCAGATTCACAAGCGACAATAGTGTGTTTTATCTAATTGTCCCAGACTTCCACAAATTGAAAGTATCAAAGGAAAAATCATTGTGCAAGAAATAAACCTTGGAGGTTCATGACCTAGTAGGGTTTGCTTGTTTATTTCTGTGTACTCTCTGCAAAAGCGATTTCTTAATGTTCTCATAATTTGCTTCAGAATCAAAAAGTAAAATTTGAACGATTTTGCACTTGAATTTTTAAGAAAGAAAACAGGAGGACTCCTATTATACTGTACAAGTAAAAAGCGTTCACCCATCTGAAATATAAGGGGCTCGTTGTCCTCGCGGAGGGAATTTTTGTTGCTGCTCAAAATTTTTGCCAAACCACCGTACTGGATGAAACACTCATGTTTCATCGATGAATCTTTACAAAAATTTAGGCTCAGTAATTTGATGATGAAACGGATCAATAAGCCTTAACTGGTTTCAATCAAGTATGAAAATTGACATTTGTGAAACAAACTTAGCAATTGCCGAAAACGAAAACATGTCAACCTCGCATGCTTTCATCAAGGTGGATTTAAAATTATTCACACAGTGTAAAATAATAATCTTTTTCACGATCTTTTATTGTAATCGCAACTCAAAATCCACATTGCCCCCTTAGCCGCATCATTGTAGGGTACGAAACTTGGCAACACCGCATGAGGGGATGCAATTCTTCAAAGGGGGGGGGGGTTAAAACTTTTGAGGACACTCTTTAACATATCAAGGAGTAATATACATAAAATTTGAACTTAATTTGACCAGAGGGTTGTGGGTTTTAGTGGTCAGACATTGGACTCTGGTCTCTTACGATTTCGCGGTTTTCAGTTTTTCAGTCTAGAGACCTTCCCTGTCACTTTCATCGAAAAATATCTCGGGTGGTTTTCAGAAAACTTAAAAATTTTGAAAACGGACTGCGAAGGAAAGACTTGGTAGGTAACCAAGCTCCAGGTAAAAAAAAAAATGTATAATGTGTGATTGAAAACCTACAGTTAAAAACACAATCTGAAAGCTTTTTGCTGTCTTTTCCTTCCATTGGCAGGGGTATGAAAGTTGAAAATTATATAGAATAAGTAGTAATTGGATTGCATTTTGCGAAAATGAACCAGGAACATTCCAATGTCGCTAAGATTTTGCCACTTTTTTTATATTGCAAATATAAACAGATCATCTAAACAAAGTTTATCTTGACTTTCAATAAACTATAAATTCAAGAGAAAAATTAATTTTTTAAATTTAATTTTTTCAAGATTTCAGTAATTTTATGCAAAGAATGTAAGTTGCACAATCCTAACAACATCGGAATGCTCTTAGTTCCTTTTTGCGAAATGCAATCCAATGGAGATGTTGCATGTGTAAGAAATTTGCGATTTGACTGTTGATTTCTATGTAAAAGTTCGCGAGAAACACGATGGTGCCACTGGTTTTCTCTGAAATCAACTCCCAAGCTCAAAAAAAGCTCTCAAGTTGAGGCCAAAATGGAGGGGATATCCCACCCTACCCTGAGAGTCCACGTCTACATCAAGACAAACTCTCCATGCAAAGATAGAGAACAAATACATTGACAGGGCTGCCACTTTATTTGGGGACTTAAAAACTGAAAACACGGCAACCCTGCTAATGTATTTGCTCCCTATCTTTGCATGGAGAGTTTGTCTTGATGTAGACGTGGACTCTCAGGGTAGGGTGGGATATCCCCTTCATTTTGGCCTCAACTTGAAAGCTTTTTTTGAGCTTGGGAGTTGATTTCAGAGAAAGCCAGTGGCACCATCATGTTTCTTGCGAACTTTTACATAGAAATCAACAGTCAAATCGCATATTTCTCACACATGCAACATCTCCATCGTAGTACAACAGTGATATAGTTAGGCTTGCTTTTAATGAACATAAGAGCAAATAAAAAAAAATTTCTTTGCATGCTGGACTTCATCATTAGAAAATCTTTGTTTAATTTTTATCAGCTATCAAATGACAAATGCGTCAAGGAAGACTGTTACTGCTATATCAATGTTATACTACCATCATTACCAGTTCCACGTAGTCCTCAACTTATTTGACCTAAAGGTGGTGTGAAGACACCAAAAAGCTTTTGGACTGTTGTATTATTTGTGTAAGTATTTGATCATAAACGCTTATCTCATACCTAGTGCTTGCCTCCCGCACAGTCATATCTCATTAAAGGAGTACTTTTGCTCAGAACATTCTTAGAATATCTTCTGTTCGTAATGATTTTTTCTTCTTTCTTCCTCTTTCAATGATATTTTTAGGCATAGCGAAAAAATCAATATTGTTTTAACATGTATTTTTTCGAATTTTTTAGTTTGTGACTGATGATCGTCATTACATTGTCCGCTGTATGTTGTATCATGCTACAACCGCCGGCTCTCGTACAAAATTTTACAATGCAACAGACCTAAATCTCATTATTTCAGATTTAAAGCCCAATTCTCAGTATGAGTTTACTGTCAAAGTTGTGAAGGTAAGGAGTCATGTTCATTATCATAGAGTTTTGTGACTGTTTGGAAACTTTCCAGACATTACATTCTATTTTAAGGTGTATTTTCATTACATTTTTACTGAGAAAATGCTTTAACATTGAAGAATGATACCTAATTTATACTTCCTTTCTATTTACTTTTTGATTACTTAATTTGTTTCAAATCAAATGTTTTTTCTTCTGCACACCACCAGTCAAAAATTGTTATTTTCTTTGCTCAAAAGGAATTCTGATTGAATAGTATACTCATCATCTATTTGTATGCTGAACGAATAGGCCTGTTGCAAACTTTTGTTGGAGCAAAAATTAGAGTTGTTTCCATCAGTAAATGTATCAAAAATTACGATTAGCGGATTGGCCAAATTTGAAATGCACTCCTAACTTCACAATCTGCATGAAAAATTTGCGTTTTTTTTTTTTTAGCTTCCCGCTTCAAAAACGATACTACAGCACAGGTGAACATTTTGTTAGAGGTGTCGTTCTATCCAACCCCTGTGCGCTAGGATACTACACAATACTCAACATGGCCAACACCAGCTGCCAAAACACATGCACTCGAACGAGATTCTAACCAATTCTTATCAACGCAGTGTGTTAATATTCTTGATTTTTTTGCATTGATAAAGATTTGCTTTGATTGACCTTGTGCTCCCGATGGGGTTGCTGAAGCTTCGGCTATGTTGAGTATTGCTATTGCGGAAGTGTTGAATGGAACGACTCCACCAACGAAATGTTCACCTTTGCCGTAGTATTGTTTTTGAAGTGGGAAGCTAAAAAGAAGCAAATTTCTTACGCAGATTGTGAAGTTAGGAGTGCATCTCAAACTTTGCCAATGCGCTCATCGTGATTTTTGAGACATTTACTGATAGAAACAACCCTTTTTTTTGCTCTAGCAAAAGTTTTCAACAGACCCTTTATTCAGCACATTGCTCAACAAGCAATGAGAAGGTATTTTCTTTTTCTCTATGCCCGAGGTTCTCTGATGAATCTTGCTATATTGACCGGTACTTGCGCACTGACGTAGAATGAATACACAGCTTATGTGTATGAGTTTTACAGAAAACCAAGAGTTCTACGATTACTGACGGTTTTCTGCGAGATTTTGCGCTTTTCGTGGATTTTCGGAATTGCTCTTAAATTTTTTGGGTTTTGATGTCCATCTACGTTTTTGGATTTTCTTGTATTCACAGATTCTTGCGCTTTCTAACTCCCTTGGTATAATTTTTGGCTCTCTTCATGTGATTAGCGTTTTTTTGGCCAGGTTCCAGTTTGCCAAGCTTTTGTGCAGATGGCCTGCTTATTTCCAAGGATTTGAAAAGCGGGGTATTAAAAATTTGCTGCAACTGTAAAAATAATTATTTCAGGGAGATTTTGGATTTGCTGCCCAATAGTTTGTAAAATTTAACCATTTTTAGTCTTGTAAAGAAAAAATAATTCCATCAAAATCAAAATTAATGGATTGCATGGCTGGTTTATTTCATATTAAATGACCTTTCAGTATCATCAGATCAAAGTATATGAAGACCATCGCTCATTTGGCCGTAGGTGACCTTGATCATTCCTCCTCCTACACCATGTCTATTTGAAATAATTCTGATGTTTATATCCTGCCCTTCAGGGCAACCGAGAAAGTCCATGGAGTATGGTTGTTTTAAATACAACTCTAGAAGATGCCCCCTCATCACCTCCTATGGATTTAACAGTGGTTCCTGTTGAAGGAACGCCTTCTTCTGTTACTCTGAATTGGCAGCCACCAAAAGTTCCCAATGGCAGAATAACAGGTAACAAAGTTTTAAATACTCACTTCTCTTCTTTTTTAAATTTTCTTCCATCCTTTTTTTTTTATCTCTTCAAGAAGTTTATTATTTCTCTTTTTCTGCAGCAAACTGTAACGAACAATAAAAGGGTGTCAACCTAATGCATCAACAATCTATCATTGCCTTTTCCTTGTTTGACAATTTATTTATTGTATAAGGAGGTTAAAATTTTCCAATAGCGTGTGAGTGAGTATATATTGTGGTATCTGAAAATGAATCAGAAGTTAAATTTTTGCAAATTGGAAAAGAAAAAACTTGTTGATGCTCTATGGCACGAGCTGAAACTATGGGAGGCAAAATTAAAAAAACGAAAGGAAGCGGGGGAGAGAGAGAGGGGGGGGAGAGAGAGTGAGAAGGGGGGGAGAGATGAAGTAGCTATCATTGTCGGGACTTAGCGTCGTCTACGGACCGCACTGTCGGGACTCCCTATCATTGTCGGGACCTCACTCGGGTCCCGACAGTGTTTTCAGGCAAAATCCATGAGTAAAATGTCGAAATGCAGAGAAATTACGTATGACGTTGAAGAGTATCTTCCTCCTATCTTTGAAATTATGTTTACTTAGATCCTAACTTAAACAACTCTCATCAAATTCACAATTTTAAGGGAGTCCCGATAATGATGGTAGCAAGACGATTTTCTCTCCAACTGAAATTGTAATCATTGTCGGAACTTGAAAACGTACTGATTCGAGCGCCATCTACGTAACTTATCAGAACTACTTACAGTGTTGACAAACGTAAAACAAGTTTTGATTATTATACGTCAACCATTTGCCCCACGCATTCCTTTCGCGGCTCGCGCCGCGCTATTCCTTTGTCTGTCCGGTCGAGCTGCGGCTTCTTTTGTTTCTTCCACACAATATCCCTGATGCTATGGGCCTTTACCTAAATTTATCATGAATGGATTCTCATGCGCGGATCTTTTAAAAATGTCTTTGACGGAGTTCACTGCCCTGGAACCGAACACCCTGGATTCCTTTAACAGCAACTCATGCTGTAGCATTGGCACCGCGTAGCAGCGTTTTCGAGCAAGTGAGCCGGGGGTGTGTGATCGTCTATAACTTAAAGGGTGCAAATCCCACAATTTTTCAAAGAACCCGAAAAATTTCAAAAATAAAATTCGGTTAAAATGAACATTGCTGCATGTCTACGAACGCAGAATTTTTATCTGGATTCGGTGATTTAAGTGATAGCGCTGTTATTTTCATTTACTCCGGAAAAACTAACGCTTTCCTGGACAATATTAAGACTGTAAAACTGGACAGTGTACTACGTAATTTATGTGATATGCCTATGAATGCCTCATTTTATTCCATTCATTTCAGGGGGTCTAGACAGTAAAGTTTAGTGTGCGTATCGGCCGTTAATTGAGGAGTTGATCAATTTTTGGAAAAGAGGGGGGGGGGATTGCCCCGCGATTCCTGCGTAACATCAATACCACCAATTTCACTGTAATAGCAAGATTTTTATAAACGATCGTTGGCATACGTTTTTTTCAGTACCTAAGTGTCGATACGGTAATTCTATAGGTTCAGTGGCGTCGTTGATGACGTTGCCATTTTCACCAACTCGGTAAATATACAGTAAACATACTCATTCCCGGGACCCTTTACTTTTCCTTAATTATCCTTTACTTTTTGCTGCTATGTAAATGAGCAATTTTACGAAATAGCTAAAAAAAGGTAAACGCTTAAATCTGATAATGTCGACCCGAGTTATACGATTAGCTAGCTATCCATAGAGTGGTATGATGCCTGTTTTCAAATTTCTTTGCCGATGATTTCTCAACCTGATTTTTACCCCAAGTTTTACCCGTGACATCGGCCTTCTGACGTAAGGGCGTATCTCAATTTCCTCGCAACCCTGCTTTACATGTAAACCCATGCTTTTTGGGTCTCATTCGTGAATCGAGATACGCCCTCACGCCAAAGGAGCAACGATGAGTTTCAAACTAGAAAGTATTGTGTACCTTCATTTTGTGCGTAATTCTTGTAAAATCTGATCGAAATCTTTAACGTGATTTGGTGTATGTATATTTTCTTCCATTCAATGAGATTATTTCCTTCTCAGGAGCTTCTCCAAGACTTATGCTTCATTCACAACTGAATCCTTTCCCTAAAATGCTGAACTGTATACCCATAGTGTGATCACGATACACTTATTTAATTTACGATTTTATATGATCATTATTTATACAGTTATTACTTTGATGTGCTGCACGTTTCTTTTTGAGTGCACCGAATGGTTTGCATGTCAATGAAAGCTCAGTCAAAATCCCAATTTTAATTCGATTTTTTCTTCTTCCCGTTATCGATTTTAACTATTTCGCCTTCATCCAGCATTCTTGCAAACGATCATGATTCTGAACTTACATAAACAAATTTGTTTTTTAAGATTAGTACAATAAAAATATTTGCAAGAATTAAAGAAAGAAAACTCGATTGAGTTTTCGCCTCCATTAATCAATATGTTTGCCTAAATATGAGGCAATGCCAATTGGCCATGTGTCTCCTACTTTCCACCTTAAACATACTAAGGTTCTTGGAAGAAAACTCTATATGAGGCAGTGGACGGCACGACGACGCGACGCGACGTGGCGTTCCTCCTCCCTGATATGATCACAATAAATCACGTCGGAGGAATCGCAACTGAATGCAAGTCATTGAGGATAGGCGTTCAATGACGTAAGTACAGTCAGGCCAATGCCTTTGACTGGCCCCAGTCAGGTGACCTAAAATATTTGCAGATGGAACCAAGGAACTGGCTGTTCCTCAGGTAGTAAAAAGAAAAGGAAATCTTGAATAGGCGAGGGGCCGAGGGCCGAGGGGTCGCTCGCTGCGCTGCACCGAGCGCCGCGCCGCGCTGCCGCGACGTCTTTTGGTCCGGGCTGGTGTTATGCGCTTCGGGCTCACAATCCCTGATCATAGGAACCTAAGAAAGGGAATCATGACACGATTTCGCACGGCTCTCCTGAGAGATCAGAAAAAATCCATGGTTTTTGAACCATGTTATCAGAGTTCCATGAAGTCATTTTTTGCCCAAAGAGAATGGACTCCTGATCTTCTCTGATATAGCTTGGTTTTTTACCCACGAGGCCATAATTCTCAATTTTTATTAGGTATAGTTTGAATGCTTGATTCCATCATTTACACAGAAAATTCAGTTTTTTAGCTCTTTTCAAACGTAAGGCGGGAAAAATCATAAGTGCAGCCATCTCGCGGGCTAGATTCACACTTCCCGGGGATTTACAGTCTTCTGAATACCGAGCTGAAATGTGCTTTTTGCCCATACTGCTTTCTGAAATCCTGAGATTTTCTCCAGAAACCTCTTTTAGCAAGAAAGTCCTGTGAATAAAACCCCCCCTCCCCCCACCCATGAAGACGCCGAAGATCATGCCACGACTCTTAGTCCTTAGTCCCAGAACCAGGCATCTCCTTCGATTCCAATTTACAGAAAAAATCATGTTCTGAACGTCAACGGCGTACAGAAACTTTGCAAGCATGTGTTACCATTTTACCTCATTTCAATTTGTAGACACAAATTTAAAAAAAAAAAATCTGGAAGTTCTTTAAAAACTCAAACGCAGCGTTGTTATTTACACCCACTCCAGAAAAACGAACCCTTTTTCGGAAAATCCTGTGTTAGTATTTTGGACATCCAACAAAACTATTCCTCATGATATGTCTATTAGTGCATGAATATTTGACGGAAGATGAAGCAAATAGAGGATAAACTTGCCAGCCGAATCAATATCGGCATTTTGCGATCGAAGGGTGTAAAAAAAACCCTACCCTCGGGGGCGAGCGCATTTCGTGGGAAAGGTCGATGTGGCTTCACAGAGATTTTCTGGTATTGAGCAGCTACATGCAATCAAATTTTTCTTGAGGATAGGGATAGCCGCCCCCCCCCCCNAGACATGTGACCGTCATGCCATGCTCTTGACAAGGGAAACTCGGGGAAAATAGATTTTGAGAAAATCAGCCCCTTCTTCTAGATATTGTATGCCGCTGAAGTTCATCAGCGCCATTTTTTAATATATTCCACGTGGGATGAGTTCCCGTCAGAGACCACAACGCTCATATTCAAGTTGCCTCGGCCTTACGAATGAAGAGGAGACTGCACCGGTAATTACCTCGGTATTGAAATCTGGACGGGGATCGGAACGCGTAGCCCGCTGTCAACCCCGGGGAAAGGCGGGAAAGGATGTGAAACGCATGCGATTAAAATCAGGACCTCGGATCGGTCTCTTTTTCGATGGAAGTGAAATCTTGAATTAACTATCCACGGCTGGAGCATTTGCTCAAAATTAGTGATTTAGAGTATACGTCCGTGAACCTACTCCAGTACTCCCCCNCTCAGGTGGAAAAACAACTTTTTAGCAATTGCTCACCCCCTCCCCAAATTCAATTCAAAATTCCCCATAGACCCCCGAAAAAGCCAGCCTCCGACATTGCCCGATCGACTTCAAACCGGTGTCCAAAACTTACCCTTGAATTGATCAGAATTGCTCGCCAAAAATCGGGAATTGCTCACCTAGCATTTCCTCTCAAAATAAGAGTGCCAAATTCCGTCTGGAAAAATGCTAATGTTTGCCAAACGGCGAAATGCCGCATACAATTTTCATGAGTTTTTATTGATGGAATGAAAAGTGGAGTAAATTCCACTGCAGCGCCACTTTCATTCAATAAATTTGAGTCGTAAGAATCTGGAGTTTGATTTGCTCATATTGCTCGATGTGGAACCTAGAAGATTCTAGACCCCGGGATGTAGAAGTTTTTTGTCCCTAGACGCAGTCCAATTTGCGGATCTCTCTGTGGGAAGAGGGATGCGTTGGTTTTTACTCTCAGGCGAGGATGGTTAAAATGCCACCGTTAGTAAGTAAAATGCGAATTATGAACCGAGATAAACGCAGTTTGAGAAATTTTTTGGCAGATGTTTAACGGGAACGTATGGGATGAGAGGGG